TCATGCCCAAACTGTCAAAAAATCACAACAATGCCATCTCAGAACGCGTTAACCCCACATGGTTAATTGCAAATGAGATTGAACAAACAGATCCACGCACTTCTCTGAATTGGACATATTAAAATATGTACATGTAACAGTAGGTATATACCCACATCACGTAATCTCCACAACATCCACTACAGAAAAGGCCAAGAGTGTGAAACACTCTGACTTAGTTGCCCAGCAACTCTTGGTCCATAATATTCACAGTAAAACAGCTACATTTCCTATCAAATAGGAAAATTCTCATGTCACAAGTATTCCACACTCACTCATTAGACAGGTAATTATACAAAGAGCACACAACACATCAAAACAGTGTCAACTAAACAAAAAAAAGGGGAGAGAGAATCTGTATAGCTAAAAGAATATCTGTGAAAAGCCATGTTTGTATTAATTTTCAAATTGTGACAATGCTGGAAACATGTAAGTATGAAAGGCAACACAAACCCCAGGCTAGTGTGCCTCTCCCAAAACATCGGTCATGGTAAGGGATTTGATATCTGGGCAGTGGACGGAACCGCTAAATCTCGGATTTGGGAGAGAGGCCATTCTGGGGAGCCTGAAAGAAAGGAGTTAAAATGAACCCCTTCCAGGTCTGTTACACCCCACAAAGGATAAAATCACATCAGCAAGAACCAGAGTGACGCGGAAGTTGTAAGAAAGTTATGTTTATGTCTAAGGTTTACTTTAAGGATGACCAGTGTGGCAAAAGGCAGTTTATAAAAACCCATGAATGTGTGTATGATGCGTGATGTGATGGCCATCAAGCGATTGAGAGAGTGAACGGACAAGAGTGTTGTATGACTGGACAAATATTGAAACACTAAACACCTCACAAATAACAATACCTCCGCCACAGGGTCATTTAAGAGAATTTAGTTTTGCTAAGCTTAGCCTGTTTCTTAATAAAGTTGTACTCCCCAGTTATTTAAAACCCTCAAGTTAATAAAGGTTATAAGTTTGCACGGTTAGGTCAGGGCCTATAGATTAATAAAGTTATTTCTCCAAGTTGCACTACCCTATAGGAATATAAGAGAGTTTTAAAAGGTTCACAGTAGGACTATAAGAGGCCAAGGCAAGCAGTATGCTGGGTCATTCCAAGCCTTGGTAGTTTATAATGTACTGTTCTGATTGTTTGTACTGTTGTTTTGCACTGTTTTTGTGATCCTCTTAAAAAATAAAAAGGGGGGTGATGTAGGGGCGTGTCTGAGGTACAAAGGGATGTACCTGGGCAGAGACGCCCAGAGAGCATGCGCCGAGGTTTACAACCCCCATTGGATAAAGGGATCACATGGTTATGGGATATAAAAGGGAGCGGGAGTTTCGAATAAAGCCTCTTAGTTCACCATCTCACAGGGAGCGTAAATGATTTCTTTATTATATAAAGGCAGCGTGCCACATGGCACGCTACGCTCCAGTATATCCCAGTGACCCTCAGTACGGCCCAGTGACCACCCAGTGTGTCCCAGTGACCTCCCACTGCGCCCAAGTATGGCCCAGTGATCCTCTAGTGAGCACCCAGTAACCCCCAGTATGGCCCAGTAACCTCCCAGTGTCCCCCCATGTGTCCTGGTAATCCCCCAGTAACTCCCCAGTTCTCTGCCAGTGTGCGCCAGTTCACCTCTAATCACTCCCCGTGCCATCCCAGCATGCCTCAGTAACCCCCCAGTGCCTCCCAGTGCCCCCTGGTTCCCCCCAGTGTGTCCCAGTATCCCCCAGTAATCACCCAGTGCCCCCCAAAGCCCCTCGACTGTCCCAAACGTGTCCCCAGATGCCCTTGGCCTTTCTGTGAGTGGGGGGGGGG